CAGCTTACTGCCTAAGAAAATCATTTGTTACATAATTGAATAGTTTAATACTTCTTCCTATACATCCTTCCATGATGCCATAAAACAAATTAGCTCTATTTTTTAATCTTGAGTTCCTTTTTCTCACAGGATGCAAGTTGAGACAAAATATGTCCTAACTGGCCACTCCTCTGCAGATGACCACTTTCATTTGGTATTAATATGGATAAGTGTTTTGCTTAGCCCAAGTCATTCCTTTGAAAATAGCTTGAGTTAAACGTGCTTTTCAAGTGACAGTCTTGAGATGGAATCTAGAAACAACTAGATTAAGCTACCTCTTTAATCACAGAATCTCTTATTTGAAAGGTACCTCAAAAGGTCACACAGTATAACCACATTAACTACAGTTTACCATTAACTACAATCGGTCAATATTCATGGAATACTTGCCAGCACCTATGTTCCAAAGTTGTTTAATTAAAAAATAAAGAATTTAATTTGATTCCCTGTGCATTTATTGTCACTTCAGGACCCTCTAAACAGTTCCTGCTCAATGCTATTTAAGATACAGCATGATAGTGGTCAGGCAAGGAACATGTCTGTGGAAATTTTGATGGCAGAGTGGTCTTGTGTGACCACTGACAGGCTGTGTTGCCCGGTAACTGCACAAAGGGGCTTCTCAGGAGAAGGCTGTCTGTGTTCAAATGTGGCTCTGATGTTTGCTAGCTCTGCGATCTCTGGTGTTGTATGAGTCTCTAAGTCTCTCAGTTTCCTACTGTATCAAAAGGGGCAGTGATGCACTGGCCTCCCAAGCTTGTGTAAAGGTCAAATGCAAAAGCACACATGCAAAGCTTAGCATGGCTCTTTGCCCATGGTGTGCGCTCAGTTCACGCAGCTGTTACATAGAACACGATTATGTGATTATCATACTGTGGTCCTTGTGACAGCATAGTGTCTGCCACATAATGGGTGCTCAGCCCACACTTATCAAGTGAGTGAATGGATAAATGAGGAAGACAGCTCCTCTACTGTGAGAAAAGTCAATCAGAATGAGTGCATTCAGCTCAGATGTTTGCTATACAACACCTCTGGGCACAACCTATATTCCCAAGTAAGTTGATAAGGTTGTCAAACTCAGTCAGTAACCTCTACTCTTTTCTGGAATTCTAGACCTTGACTACAAGGTAGTTGAGGTTTAGGGGCAAACACAGCACACGGTAATTTTACCCAGAAGAAAAGCTGTCATTTTTATGTATAGCTAAACATAGGAGTCTTGGCTCAGACCAGCTTCATGGTCCAAAGAGGTTTGGTAGGTTCGAAGCAAATAAAATGAAGAACTGCTGCTGTTTAAATAAGGCCATACAGAGACATGGATTCAGTGTCCTTACGTTGATTTTAGGTGGTGTTTACATTTCAAGATTCAAAGTGGTGTTGGCTAATTTCCACAGTAGAAAGTTGCCCTAGTGAATATTTTCAGTAATTTCTTTTTCTTCCTCATTCTTAATAAAGAAAAAATATTTGAATATCTGATATGGGTGATTGAAGCAGGCAAATGCAAATAAGAAGGACAATTTTATAGCAAATCACTAATAACATTAATAAAAAGACATTAATTAAAAAGAAATAAGACATTATAAATTTTTGAAAAAGAAGTTTTTCAATATATTTTTGAAATATTGAGGGATTATGGTATTTTACATTCTTAAATTAACAAATTCTTAAAAGCTTTACTATATTATCATCTATCACTTTTATCGTGGGTTGGTTTATTTCAGCACAACAGCTATTTTTTGAGCACTTACTCTGTACTAATGATTTGGTCCCTGAAGGGATTTCAAAAATGGGGGAATAAAGCTAGTTTTAGTTAGAAGATGATAAGTGCTGTGATGAGTAGGAGGACGTTATAAGGGAAACCAAGCATAGGTCACAGCAGTCAGAAAAAGCTTCCTAAAGGAGGTGAAACTTGAAAGATGAATAGGAGTTAGTCAGAAGGGGGAACAGGGCATTTCAGGTAAAGGGAGCCAGAGACACGTGGGAAGGAACATGCCGCTCGTGAGGAGCTGCAAGTCACGGGACCCTCAGGAGGCGTGCTGTAGCGGGGAGAGGGCGGAAATATGAGGGCGGTGGGCTGGGTCAGTCCATTTACTTTACTTCGCTAGTGTGATCAAATCACAATGTGCCAGCATTTTCAAACTGTGTTCCACTGCTTGTTAGTAGCTGTTACTTTGGGGAAAACAAGAGATCATGAGTCAAACGCTTACGGGCCATGTTTTGTTATACAATATTGTGTGTTTCTTTACTTCAAGTCTTTTTGGGACCTTTATTATGTCAATGGCCTTTGTGATTTTGCAAGAGGAAGACACAGCATTAAGCATTTTCTGAACTTACTTGGACATAGATCATCTTGCAGCTTTTGTGTTTCATCTTGCAGGATTTGAAGCATTTTCTGAACTAATTTCTGCAGGTCATCTTGAAGGATTTGCATTTCATGGAAAACCCTTTTGGCAAAAGTGCATTCTAATAGAAAAGTAGAGGAAGACTGTGAAAGGGGAAAATTAGATGGAGGCAGATTAATTATGATCTCATTGTCATAGTCCTGGAGTGGCCTAGAGAGGGACGGGGCAGAACCAACCTTCAATAGTAGACAACAAAGACGGAGAGCAAGTGATTGATTGAAAGCATTTTGGAATCCATGGGAAACACGGATCTGGTGATTGCCTTCTCCCATTAAATTAGGAGGTTAAAGTCAGCAGGACTAGGCAACTGATGGCTGTGAAGGGTGAGGAGAGGATGAGTGAATCAACACTGACTCAGGTTCCTGATCTGGGAAAGTGGGTGACAAGTGGTACTTTCAGTGAGACCTGAAATACTAGAGGGACTACTTGGAACTAAGAGTGCTGGGAAGGAGGCTTTTAGACATATAAATGTTAATGTGTCCAGGGAACAAGTTGAATATTTAAGTGGATATGGGAGACAGGAACACACAGCGGTAGTTCAGTCCCCGTGTGAGTGGATGAGATTGCTCATCCAGGGAGGGATATGGATCATTTTATCAAAAGGCAATTTGCAAAAAGCTGTCCTTCTCAGGGAATTGCTTTCAGAGAATTATCCACTTAGGAATTTGCCTTTTGGCTAATTGTACACTGGCAAACCGTCTGTAGGCAAATTGATCTAGAGCCACCAGGAAAGCTGTAGGGCATGAGAGGATACAGGACAAAGACAAAACTTTGAATTAAGACACGGCAGATTCAAAGAAAAAAACTCAGAAAAAAGAAATGAAGGACTATGGAATGAAAGGATATATTTTCACTAGAATCATTTGTTCTGCCAAACAAGTATTTATTTATATGAAAATGTCTGCCTCAACAGAAGAATTAATACCAAACTCTTTAAGTTGAAAGATAGGTGGGAATCTGTGTTTGTTCTGAAATGTGCTTGAATAAATGGTCCAAGGTCAGGATTAACTGAACTTCTTTATCTCTAACAACAGTACCCTGTTACCAGCATTACCCACTCCTACTGTGTATTTTTAACATAGCTCAGACTAAGCCTAGATCTTCTTGCCTATAATAGTGATGACTGTACACAGCTAGACACATTACATGCACATAATAGCAGCCAACATGCTTCAAGATAGAAATAATATGACTATTTTATTTTTGAGATCTCTTGCTTAAAGAAGAAATGATGATGATTCTTGGATTCTAATTTTGTACTCTTTAGTGAACTCATGGGTTTCTTCATCAATGATCCGTCATCTTCAGAATTAACTGTGCCTTGTATAGCTGCTGCTGGGCTAAGACCTGTGCCTAAGATCTCAGGTTATCACCAAGGAATAAGTGTGTGGCCTTGTGTGGGGGGACTGTGTGGCCATTAGAACGAGCAGAAGAGAGGGTTTCTAGCCCCAAGTTTTGCTTATTTATCTTTATTTTTATTTTAGTAAGAACACAACATGATATCTATCTTTGTAACGAATTTTTAAGTGTACAATACAGGATTGTTGATTACAGGGACAATATTGTAGAGCAAATCTCTAGAACTCAGCCATCTCGCACAATTGAGATTTTATGCCTGTTGCTTAGAAACTCCCCACTTCCCTTCCCCTCCATCCTCTGACCATTCTAGTCTCATTCTATGAGTTAGGCTATTTTAGATACCATGGATAAGTGAAATCATGCAGTATTTGTTTTGCCATGACCATCTTATTTTATTTAGCAAAATGTCCTCATGGTTTGGCCATGTTGTCACATACAGCCACACACTAGATTGCTTTTTAGCAAAAAGAGGGGAAAGGAGTATATATCGAGTTCTATTGCAAGTGGCTGTAAAGCAGGGAAGATAAGCTAGATCAGAGGCCTAGCAGGAAAGCAGAGGACAAGCTGGGTGTTGACAGTAGCTACTCTGAACTCCCTGAAGTCTGAGTTTCAATTATTCAGATAGGCAATGATGATCCATTCCTTAAATGAAAGCCTTGGGTTGCAAACTTCTAAAAAGAGAAGACAAATACTGGGAAAACATGTTTGAATGACATCAACATCCACGAATTAAAGAAATGTTCTAATGCTTTATCCACCTAAATCCAGGCAGCCAGACATTGGTGTCCTGCATGTTCTTTAGAGATGAAGTATTTCCTCCACATTGTCTGTGCTGGGCCAATCCAGCCTGGCATCTAAGGGCATGCTGTGTCCGTCCTCTTAGCCATACAGATTCTATCTGTCCTTTATGATTTAGCTGAAGATGCCTTTTGTCCATGAAGATTCTCCTGACTTCTCTTGTTAATATCTCATTGCTCTATATGATTAGTTCATTCCAAATATATTTATTGAGTGTCCATTATGTGTCAGACTCAATTCTTGGTCCAGGATTATAGCAGTGAACAAAACCAAGCCCCCTTTCTCAAAGAGCTTACATTCTCGAAGGAGAAATTGACTAAGAAAATAAATAATCTCTTTTTCTCTAGATAGATAGAGATACAAATGGATAGATGGCTGGAAGGACAGGTGGATAGATGGAGATAAAGTTGATAAAGGCTATAAGAAAAAAATAGGAAATAAATAAACAATAATAGTAGCAGATAAAGAAAATGCAAGTGAGTGATCAGCGTGTGTGGTGAAGGTGGGCTGACAAGCAGGACTTACTATTATTAGCGTTTGCTGCCATATTGTGAACTGCTTGAAGAGAAGTGCTCTGTTCTATTTCTCTTATGCTCTCATCAGTGCTCGAGCACAGGGCTGGATATAGGCAATAGGCTTAACAGATGTTTGTTTATTGACACAGTTTTTCACTTTTCATCCGGATATTTTGGCATGACAGAGGTGCAGCTTTAGTTTCCATTGAAATATCAAATTGGTCTAAATTGGCTGGGCTAGAGGTTTGGTTTCATGTTTGTATGCAGAGCAATATGCTCTAAATAAATCCAAGGGGATTTAGTGACAATTTTTGGCAGCAGTTTCTCCTCTGTGCTTCTATTTTTCTTTTCTTGGTTTTCCCTGATGTCCTTCCATTACTGAGAGATTTCCGAGTGCAATTAGTGTGGCTCCACCCAGTGACCTTTCACCTTTGCCCTGAACAGATGATAAAGCTGAACCAGAGGAAAGGAGGATCACAACAGAGGCCACTGAAGAGCACTCTTTGGGCCTGGGAGGGGTGGGAGCATGTAGGGGTGATGTTCTCTCGTCCATTTATACCTCACCCCCTTCGGATCTCACTGAACCTGCTGAATAAGGGCACAGGCTAACAACAAGAAAGACTTTTGCCTCAGGAGTTAGCAGGGGCAGTGCCAGGAAGGAGAAAAGCAGAGTGAGAGAGAATGGAGGAGGGAGGGGGAAAAAGGATCTCAGGAAAGGGGGTCAAAAACAAACCAGGCCAGAAAAATGCAGGCTTTTGTATGAGACATGGCATCCCCAGAGAGAATTTCTTAAACTCAGTGAACTTTCAAATGGCATTAGAAAGTTTCCACCTGGAGTCTGGGGAGAATTTATAGTATTCTTGGAAAGGCTTTTTAAACATCTCTAGCCTGCAAAGAAACTAAAACAACAATCTCCTTTGCTCTGTGCTGTTTGTATTTCCCCTCCTGTTTATTGATGCAGTCTTACTTTATCAACACAAATGAGAAATGCACAAACTGGGCCTCCGTGAACACAGGCCTTCTTCCCGAACTGTCTAACTTCACCTCACCGTGATCCCTGGGAGGGAGACACAGTTACTTCTCTGTCACAGAGGAAGAAACCCAATTCTGAAGAGATTAAGAGCCTTCCCCCAAGCACACAGCAGCTGTGTCAGAATGGAGATTCAAACCCAGGTCTCTGGGGTCACAGTCAGAGTCCATGAATTCTTTATGTCTTTTAACAGGCATCAAATTGTTCAGGTGAGAAATTACAAGTATAGTGCTGGTGGCTGAGGATAGAGTTACTGTTCTCCCCATCACACCCACACACCCACCCACCCACACACACACACAGAGCCTGGATGTAGAGGGATGTAAATAGAATAACAGGTCATCTTACCATCTGTCCTTGCCTGGCTCCATATGGATCTTCTGCCTAATTTCTTTTTCCTGCTTGGATTCCTCTCAGGCCGTGGGCACGCAGGCTGGCTTTTATAGCCGTGATGATTTATAGTCATGTTTTACTTGGTTTGCCAATTAGGAACTTATCCTGAAGATATCCAAACCCCTGAAGATGTCAAACAACCCTACCATGGGATTGGAAGGTAATTTTTATGAAAATCAGGTAAGATGGTGAAGAAAAGGAAGTGAGAGAAGATTCTATTAAATAGACTTCAGTGGTAAAGATTAAAAGTGAAAAATAAAATTTGCTTTTGGTGCTCGGCTACTGAAATCCTGATTTGGAGCTTGCCCTTTAACATACAAATTATAAAAGTACAGTGAAAATATTATGAGAGCGTGTCAGCTGACTTCTAGTTAAAAGTCACTGTGACCTGGGGAAATCCTTGAGTTATAGTTTCCTCATCTGCAGAATAAAGGGATTTATTTTAGATCATTCTGTGTCAAAATTTTACATTCTTTTAAAATTTCCCTTGTGTAAAGTTATGTTTTTTGAGCCTCTAAAATGACTCAAATAATATTCTAAATATTCTTTTTAAATATTTTATTTTTAAAATAACTATCTGAAGATTAGACTAAGTGTACAAGGGGACCTAACCAGTATTTTGTGTTCATAGTTCACCTAGAATCACATGGATAGAATTACCCTCACTGCCATGGCTATTTGTAGAAAATGGATCCACTTGGGGGTCATGAGCGTGAAGTCTGGTGGCTCAGGGCAGTGACACCTGCTCTCTTGCTGAGGAGGTTTCAGAAGCATCGTGCAGCCTAGGAAAGTGGCCCTCAGGACCTGTCACCTAGTAACACTGACAGAGCAGCCTATGGGGAGGCCACCAGCCAGGGCCACGGGCACACAGCAAGTGAGGGGCACCAACAGTCCACTGCTT